CATTTATAATACAGACGCGATGCACTCTTCACGACAAATTATGCAAACAGCGAACAGTGAAGATAATCGCCGAACGAGTGAATGAGAAAGTACTCGGCGTATTAAAGAGAATAAATTATTCAGGATATACGTGGGTAAGGTTGAAAGACTTGAAAGTAAATTTTACTTGTCCCTCATCGAAGATAATGGATTTTCAAGATACGTTCGGAATTCTATCCAGGAGCCACTAAAAGTGAAACTGGCACGTGTGATACGTCGTGCTGACAAGTCACGAAATCCATTTGGAAAGAACGCGCGAAATTTCTTAACAGAGAAGCAAATTGTGTCAACAGAAACTCTTGCGACCAATCCGAGATTTTAAAAATATACGAATTTTAACAAATTTAATAATATGTAAGAGTCGGGCGTTTTTCTACTCTCGTGAAACGATGCATAAACTTTACCAGGCCTTGAAAAAATATTAGATTTTTATAACATCAATGTAATATTTTAACGCAGTTTCCCTTGTACGGTCTCTGTATTTTTTACGTATAAATTACTATTGTTAGAAAAGTAGCACAACTCAAAAATTAATAACTTTTCATTAGAATATTTCTTAAGTTCTTTTTGAATTGGAACAAAATTCTTAATTAAGACATAGAAAGAGTGTGAATGCATAACTTCACTTTCTTTTCATGTTATACTTTAAATTACAATGTATTACTTAAAATTAAATCATTTGTTTTCAAAATTCGAATAATACAATCCTAATATAGAGCTATGTAAACATTCCTTATTAGAGTAGTAATATTTTTTTATATAAACAATGTATTGACAAATGTATCGTTTTTCTGTCATAAGATATTAGTCTTTGGAGAGAGAGAGAGAAAGAAAGAGATTGATTTCCTTTCAAAAATGCTAATTTTTTATTTGTATCACTTTTCTATCAACGCGGTAAAAATGTAATTTAGTTCCGTACGACGCTATTTTAAAAATATTTATCGTTAGATAAAAATACGTATGCAAAAGTTTCTATTCTCGGCAAAAGCTGTGTATAGCACTTAACGAAAGTATTAAAACGGCTAGTAAAGTCGGAAATTAAAATCTTACGAGAGAGAGTCGGTGATCTCGATCCTTCAATATGCATGAGTATTTCTCTCTTCGCGTTTCGTTAAGAAACATATAAGAATAGTTTTCAATAATGCAGACGCAAGTTTGTTTCGAAGCAACAGTAGCGAATTCACCGTGAAATCGACCGACCGCCGCATAATCGCGCTTTAACGTGACAGAATGCAACTAACCCTTTGTATGCTACTCGTGATATCTCGCGTTGGAACATCAACCGTCTCTTTACGTTCTCAATCGACCTCTCATTAGCAAAACTTGTTGTCAGATATTTCATCTTTACTTCATTTCATTATTTATCTATATTTTTATTGTATGATGGAATATAGAAATATTTAAATATGTTAAATAAATTAATATTGCCTGCATATATATGATTAAAATTTATCCTATATTACAGAAGCGATTTTATCGAAAATATTTATTTTGAGATATTTACTTTTACTGCGAATAAAGTTAAGATCTTTATATTAAAATCTATATTCTAAAAAATATAGGTGTGGATTTCATACTATGAGTGTTAAATATAATTCTCATCGTGTTGTTGTTGATATAAACCTATGTGATGATTATATAACTGTGTTACTATTGATATGAATTTAAACTAGCATGATATGGATTTAATATCATGAATGTGGATTTAATATTCTGATTTTTAAAAAACAATATGAAACAAGGCAAATAAACAAAAATCAAACTAATAAATCAAGGGATACGAGTCTATCTGGATGTTTATGAACTGTATTTTGTTTAAAATTTGGCAATAAACATTTAGCTAGTTCTTGATTTATCAATTTTATTCTTAAAATGATTTAATACCATATTAAAATATTAAATCATTTAAATCAGAATATTAAATTATTAATACTACAACCATGATATTAAATCTACACATATTGGTATTTATATTAATAGCAACACAGTGAGAATTATATACCTGATACCGGCATGATGTTAAATTCCATATTTCTTAGAATGTAGAAATTAGTAATCATTATATGATATCATATATGTTATATGATTTTATTCAATTTACAAATGTATTGTAATAAAATATGGAAACATTATATTGTAATTTGTTATTACTGCTCTTTGATTTGCAGAAAATGTCAGCTAGTATAGAGATCATAATACGATACAACATAAGGGAATCTTGCGACAAACAAGAGTAAGTTTAAAAATATCAACAAAATTCTATCATTCTCTTATCCGTATGGGAAATTGCGTTACGCAAAATCCATAAGAGAAAATATAATATCGCTGCTCAATTCCATCGTAACGCGATCTCCCCCGATGATATCATACGCACGAGAGTTTTTAATTAAGAACGGGGACGAAATAAAAACACATTCATGTCGCTGCTTACTGCGTGACTACTATACAGTAGCAATGAAACGGAAGCTCATTCGTATTCTCAGATCATCAAGAAGGTCCGCCGAGGTTTTTTCAATTAGAACGACGAAAAACAAGTCATTGCTGCGACGGAATTTCCTTTTTTTTAATCTTTGGTAATAAAGAAGTTTGCGTTAGGCTGAAACGTTTCTGTTTTCGAACGAGGTTTTCTCAATCAACAAAACTAATAATCAATCCTTCGAAATCCTCGCTTCCTCTTTCTTCATATTTATTTTTCTTAACGAGAGAGTGCATTTTGATCCCCTCCGCGCAATGCGTTATTACGTGATTGTCCTACCAAAGGATCATTCGGCGTTTTCATCGAACGCATGCATCATCAGCGGATCCATGGGGAACCATAAGGGCCATGGCCCTCCCTTGAAGTTTCCTTTTTTAAAAATAATTATGCAAAATGTTATATATATTATTAATATTTGTACAGTACTTAATCACAATTTTTAATCCAAAAATATTTGTTAATTTAATAAACTCTTAGATATAAAAATGTATATTCTATTCTATTTATAATATATTATTTATATATATTATTTTATATAACATATTATTTTTACGTATATCTTATTCTTTTTAGTGTTAATAATTTTAATAAAATGAATTATAGCAATCAAAGCCTTAAACAGTCTAGCTAGATCTTAAATGCTTCTATGATTCTGTGTGAATTTATATACTACATAGTCTTTTTTTAAA